CTTGAGCCGGTGAGATTTGAACCGCCGAACTTCAGCTAACAGTCAGCTGAAGTGGCTGCACTCTAACCACTGCGCCACCTCGGCAGGTAATTCAGGCAGGTGGATTAAAAGTGAGGCCACAATAATTAAGAGTCATCAATATGCTAACATAGTTTTCAGAGCATTGAATATGGAGTTTTGAACATTGAAAAATTGTGCATGCACACAAAGAAGTGCAATTCCAGAGGAATATTTGTGTTTAACGGTGAACTAATGCAACAAATGAACGAGCACTCATTTTTACTTGCCACTTTTTCCTTCAGGGAATTATTGCTGAAGAGAATAAGAATCGACAGCCACAGGGGGAAGAAGATCCTGGCAAATTTAAGGAAGCAGAACTGAAGATGCGCAAGCAGTTTGGAATGCCTGAAGTAGAGAAACTTGTCAATTACTACTCTTGCAGTTATTGGAAAGGACGTGTCCCAAGACAGGGCTGGCTGTATCTCACTGTTAATCATCTCTGCTTCTATTCCTTCCTTTTGGGCAAAGAAGGTAACCTGTCAGTGAGATGTCTCTTATTATTTAATGTTTCAAACATTTATTAAATCTGATAGCATTGCCTCTTTCAACCTGCTTTTTGATTAGGGAACCACAACTAAAACTCGCACTGCTCTGACAATAAGTTGCACAATTCCCATATCTCTCCCAGTGCATCTTTTTAATCTTATTGTTTTATTAGAGTCCAGCAATGGGCAGTTGGCTATTTCACATCAATATTGCTAAAATATCTGTAAATTATTTTAAAGGATTTGCCTTATAATTCTCTATGACAGTAATTGATGAATTGGGTTTACTTGTTTCCGCAGTGACCCTTATAGTGCAGTGGGTAGATATAACACAGTTAGAGAAGAATGCTACCCTTCTGTTTCCTGAGTGCATCAAAGTGAGTACCAGAGACAGTGAACTCTACTTTTCTATGTTCCTCAACATCAATGAGACCTTCAAATTAATGGAACAGTTGGCCAACATTGCCATGCGTCAACTATTTGATAATAAAAGGTTCACGGAGGACATGCTGCTTCCCAAACCCAGCAAGCCACTCAAGAATATCTCAGCACTCAAGAGGTAAGCATGTATAAGAACCTGTGTTCGATTGTCTTCCCAAGGTTTTAGGACACCTTCAGACAAGGTGTAGGCCACTCTCTGATTGGCTTCAGTCCAAATAGAAGCTGCCTCAAATGTTTCCATAACTAAGAACAAAAACAAACTATATTTCCTTTGTACAGAGAGAATGCCTTTCACCAACCCGGCGAATTGTAACTCTCTTTATAACTAAATAACATGCCTTTTTCTATAGTGTGAAAATGTTGTTTTTTCTAAGCATTTTCTTTCTTTTAGAGTACACTTTGGGGTTAGTGTGTATATGTACACAGATGCATATAATTTCATACACATAAAAGGTCTAGGCACATTTATTGAGGAAGAAAACATATCCAGCATTGATTTCAGCTGGGTTGGTTGATGCTAAGTTGATAAGACTGGAAAACTAGGTATTACATAGTACTTGTGTATATAGTTATCTGCCTGTTTTTCTATGGGATATCTTCTGTTTTGTGCTTTTTAGTATGACTTGCAAAAATAATGCCTTTTTTTCAATTTTCATGTTTACAAATGAAAAAAAATTGAAAATATGCAACCAGATAATAATCCAAGGAGGTTCTTTCTAATCTGCCCAATTATTTCAAGGCCATTCTTGATCTGAATTGCAGGAACATGAGTCTGATTGAAATCTCNTCATCACACCCAACTTATCATATCTCTCCTCAATATCCATAACAATGGTATGTTCCCTCTATCCTTTCTTCTTCAGGCAAAGGAGACAATGAAAGAAGAATCTTGGAACATTCATTTTTTTGAATATGGGAGAGGCATGTGTATGTACCGGACAGCCAAGACTCGTGAGCTGGTGCAAAAAGGAATTCCAGAGAGTCTTCGTGGAGAACTTTGGCTCCTGTTTTCAGGTGACATTCTTGCTAAATGTGCACAATAGATTTCTGACTTAAGGAGAAAATATTTTCCCCTGCTACATAGTTGCATAGTACTACTGGCATTGAAATGAAATTGCTCCCCAAACTGCAGGTGACTTGAAAAGTTAACAATTATTGTTCTTAGAGCTAACATTTCTTAGTTCTAAGCCAGTTGCTTTATACAATTGTGAAGCTTTTTTCCCCTCAAAGTATTTTTCTTTAAGTTTGCTAAAATGAGATGCAAAGTAATCACTTCAGACAAATGTTAACCAACATCTTAAAAACTTCCAGTGTTGGAGCATTCACAACTTCTGGAGGCAAGTTTTTCCATGGAATAATTGTTCTATCAGGAATTTTTCTAAATATATCATTTTTATTAACATCATGCATTTAGTCCTCAGTGTAAACCAGCTGCAAAAGACTTGATAACCTGCAGGAAATCTTTTCTTTGTAGAAGTTTCAGCCTGAATCACACCTTGAGTGCAGTAGGCAAGAAAAATAATGTTTGTGTGTCAATATAGGGGCCTGGAATGAGATGGCCACTCACCCTGGGTATTACAGTGATTTGGTGAAACAATCAACGGGAAAGTATAGCCTTGCCACTGAAGAAATTGAAAGAGACCTGCATCGTTCAATGCCAGAGCACCCTGCCTTTCAGAATGAACTAGGAATTGCTGCACTTAGAAGGGTACTAACAGCATATGCTTTTCGGAATCCTACAATTGGATACTGCCAGGTAAGGGAGTGATATTTTTGGATTACCTAGTAGTTTGATGGTACTCCTTCTCACAGCTTAGCCATAGTTTGATTTGAAGTTCAGCCCCTATTCTTTCATGGGTAGGAAGATAGTAGACCACTATTTGGGCATGGTTGAGCAATCTGTGGGCTGTGTGAATCCCCAGCCTCTGTTTTGTAGACTTCTTCCATCTTCATGTGCTTCTTGAGAAAAAGGGATTCTACCCTGAAAAAGTTCTGGAGGGGGGGAAAAAGGAAGAGAAAGGATAAGTGAGATTATATAAGGGCATATAAGAATATCTCTCTTCCTCTTTCATTTCCCCAGTGAAATTTCAGGAAGATGTTTTATTATCTCTTGTTTTATTATTATAAAAATTTACATAATATTTGGGTGCAGTGCTGTTTATACACTCTTGACTAGAGATTATTAACAAATTGATATTAAATAACTTAAACTTTTAGGATAAAAAGCTTGCATTAGTAATGATTAATTTCTAAATTGTTATGGTTGATATAAGATTGCTTGGATTTTACATCTAAAGCTGGGTTTGGCTGCAAAATACATTAAAATATTTATTATATAACAAAGGTTTCGAACACTAAGGTTTCCTGATGTACCTACTTTCTCAAAGTAATTGTATAGAGCCAAGGATTTGATTCTGAGCTATACAATGCCCTCTTCATTTATGATTTATATCTGAGGCGCTGACAAATTGGAAAGCAAATAAATACTTGAACTTTTTAAATATGCTCCCTATCCAATATTAATGGTTATGTATGTGCATGTTTGTCTTCATATTTGTCAGGCCATGAACATAGTGACATCAGTACTGCTTCTGTATTGTAATGAAGAAGAAGCTTTCTGGCTCCTCGTAGCCCTCTGTGAGAGAATGCTGCCAGATTACTATAACACTAGAGTGGTTGGTAAGTCACTTTGAAAGCTGAGATTAATTGGCACAAAAGAATCTGAAGCAGTCAGAGTGAGATCTTTAGTTGCAAAATAGTTGGATAGTTGCCTTTAGGACAAGTAGATGAATGTTCGGAAGATTAGCTTCCTTGATTTTATATAAATAAAATAGTGTTAGAATTGCACAGTTCAAATTAATTACAGGAGCTGCCTTTTCATTTTCAAGTCTGGATAAAACCATAATAATTAAATCTTATTCAAACTTCTTAAAAAATGTTCCAGTGTTGAAATTCGTGAATTTTCATAGCCAGTTTATTAAGTTTCTCTTGTGATTCTCTCAAATTGTATTAATGTAGTGAAATTCTATAGGTTTATATCAACCCCAACTACTGTTCAACTACTACTGTTCTTAATTAAAATAATCAATAAATATCTTTCTGAAATCAAATCAGATATCCTAAAGCTTAATACAGTATATTTTCACATCCTTCTTAGCTCTACATAGAATTTCCTCCTGAACTGTTCTCATCCTTATATTGTTCTGAGCTTTACCATATTATTTTTTGCAGTATATAAGGCTTCCTGATAAGATTTTAATTGGCACTGAAAAGTTGAAATATATTGTCTCTTCCCACATCTAAGAAAGATGTCATCTTTTCAAAATAATTAAGGAGCTAGAATGATAATAACTTGGGGTCAGGCAATCTTAAGAATCTTACCAAGAAGTTGCAGAGAATGTCAATACAATCAGAATCATATCGTATGAGAAGTAACATTATCAGTGTTCCGCAGCAAAAGGTATAGTGATACTTCAGAAATGAAACCTAAATATGGAATCCTAATAATTTTATGAGAAGAAATTACATTATTGTGGACGTCCAGTACAAAATCAGAAGATAGTTTTCACTTAGTAAAAAAACTGCAATTCAAACTTTGCAGTAGGATTTTGTAACTGATGTTAATCACTTCCTTGAAGATAAGTAATATATAGTGAAGTCAGTTTGCAAATCCAAGTATTGGCAATGCATAGGTGAGCTCATTAGAAAGTACCCCAGATTTTATTTATTTGGTTTGGACAAATCAGCATTTGTAATAGAACCTTGTTTCACACTCTTACTCTTATAATATCACAGATAACACTTCTGTCTTTGTTGCCTCTTCAGGTGCACTAGTAGACCAAGGCATCTTTGAAGAACTAACAAGAGATTGCCTCCCCCAGCTGTCTGAAAAGATGCAAGATTTAGGAGTCATTTCCAGCATATCACTATCTTGGTTCCTCACTCTTTTCCTTAGCGTCATGCCTTTTGAAAGTGCAGTGGTCATTGTTGACTGTTTCTTCTACGAAGGCATAAAGGTCATCTTGCAGGTATCCCTGGCGATCCTGGATGCGAACATGGACAAGCTGTTAAATTGCTGTGACGAAGGTGAAGCCATGACTGTCTTGGGCAGGTAGCCTTGTTTTTGTTTCAGAATTAAGCTGGGGGGGTGGGCAGACTTTCCATCTTAAAATTATACCCTCTTTTAGACAACACTGTGCCTGCCAGGCAGATATTTTAATATCATTACCAGTGACGTGTGGTGAGGTTTATGGCTGGTGAGGCACTGACTCCATCACAATCAGATTTACAAACATTAAAATCCTACAAATTGTCTTATCCGATATTTGATTGGCAGCAGTTAATGGGTTATGTTTAAAGTCTCATATCAGCATTCTTTACACATACTGTAGCACACAAAAAAGCACATTTAATTGAAAAAAATTGAAGTTATTATGGGACTTACCTTTACTTATAAATGAAGTCCATCCGCCACTCCTTCTGAANAGATAATAATCCAAGGAGGTTCTTTCTAATCTGCCCAATTATTTCAAGGCCATTCTTGATCTGAATTGCAGGAACATGAGTCTGATTGAAATCTCCAGTACAAACTACCGTATTTTTCAGAGTATAAGATGCACCTTTTTTCCACTCAAAAGAGAGGCTGAAAATCTGGGTGCGTCTTATACATCGAATACAGCATTTTTTGCCTCCTGAAGCCCCGCCCCTTCACCAAAATGGCCATGCATACCCTTATGGAGGCTTTCAGAGAGCTCATGGGGGCTGGGGAAGGCAGAAATTAGCAAAAAACGGGCCATTTTTGCCCCTGCAGCCCCCAGCAGCACTCTATAAGCCTCCATAAAGCTATGCATGCAATTTTCTTGACGAAAAACAGGCCCATTTTTGTGAAAAACAGCCCCATTTTTGTGAAAAACAGCCCGCTTTTTGTTCCTTTTTAAACCCTTCCCCCCAGGAGCACTCTGCAAGCCCCCCTCCCAAGGCTATTCATGTCCTTTTCTTTAGGGGGGATGAAACGTTTTTGGGAGGTTTTCAGAGTGCAAAAACTTTTTTTTCCTTTTGGAAAGCTCTTTAACTGATTGATGAGAATTACATTGATCAAGTACTATGCCAGCAGAAACACCTACCTATCTACTGTATTTCTCTATATATATATTTCTCCCTCTCTAGTCCTCTACCTACCTACCTACACTCTCCCTCCCTCCTACTGTATTTCTCTCTCTCTACCTACCTACCTACCTAGTCTCTTTCTCTCCCTACCTACTTATCTACTGTATTTCTTTCTATATATATTTCTCTCTCTCTATCCCTCTACCTACCAACCAACCTACTCTCTCTCTCTCCCTACCTATCTACTGTATTTCTCTATCTCTCTCTATTTCTATTTATCTCTATCCCTTTACCTACCTACCTACCTACCTAATTACTCTCTCTCCCGACCAATCTACTGTATTTCTCTCTCTCTCTCTATTTCTTTATCCCTCTACCTACCTACCTACCTACCTACCTACTTGCACTCTCTCTCCCTCCCTGCCTACTGTATTTCTCTCTCTTTACCTACCTCCCTAACTACTCTCCCTCCCTACCTACTTTTTAAAAAAATTGCCTCTTCAAAACCTTGCTGCATCTTATACTCCGGTGAGCCTTATACTCTGAAAAACACGGTAAGCTCTGAACTTTCTGCATTTTGTTCCCAATGTCTCATAAACACATGCTGGATTTCTGTCCTTGTATTTTTCCTAGAGATGTCAGGAAAAATGGAGATATGAAACTTGTAGATGATATTTGAATTTGCATTTTTCTTCTTCCCATGCAGCCTATTTATATCCCCAAAATTTATTTATGTAATTTTGTTATAGATATGAAATTGCTTTCCAGAATATAGTATTGCTCTTTCTGTTGTTCCAACTAAATTTTGTTATATTTCTAACTATGAAGTCATGGGTAGAAATCCCCACATGGAACCTCCATAATTAAGCACTGTTTTTTCCCCCCAGTACTCTTTATTTAGATAATTTACATAGCTGACCATCTTAAACAAGTAACTGGACAGCAAACAGATAATGCAACAGATTAATGTTATAAAGTTAATATAAATTAAACAAATATAATTACAATAATCATAATACAGTAATCAAGTCACCACAGAAATACTAAATACACAATATTATCACAATACTTACGATTACAATAATGCCTGAAAATCTTGGTCATTGAGTGAAGTGGTTGTTAAGTGAGATGCCACACGACCATTTCTCTCAATGATTGCAATTCTGGTTCTCCTAGTTGCAGTCGTTAAGCAACCACATGGGTTATTAAGTAGAACACCATGGAAATGGCGATCACATGGTCGCAGGGAATTTGGCATCCTGTAATAAATGCAAACTGGTTACCAAGCATTTGAAATGTCCTGTAACTGGGGGAGTCTAGTATGACATTTTACAATGGCCAAAAAGTACCTGTTCTGAGGCCATTGTGACTGCAAGTGGTCATTAAACAACCAGTTGTAAGTTGAGGACTACCTGGATCTGTAGTAGGGATTTTTGGCAATCAGTGGTCAAATATGACAATATCTGTGTTTGGTGGAAATTCTTATTTGAAACTATTTTGAAAAAGGATTGTGCATGATTGAAGGTAAAGTTCAAGACATCTGAAGGGGACAAGTTAGAAAAAGACTATTGTAATGGATTTCTCAGTAATTACCCCATCGCATATATATTTCATTTTCTTTAGGGATCTGGATGCCAGAGTCAAAAATGAATGGTACCGTGCTACTTTTCGATTGCCCAAGGATGAACGGCTTGATGGGCACACAGACTGCACTTTGTGGACCCCATTCAATAAAATCCACATTCTCGGCCAGATGTTTGTGTCCAATAACTATATATGTTTTGCTAGCAAGGCAGAAGAGGCATGTCATCTCATAATACCACTTAGGGAGGTGAGAAACTGTTTTTGATAATGAATTATTTTGAGAGCCCAGCATTTAGTTATTGGATTAATTTTGAAGGATTTCCTTGAAGATAGTAGGATTTTGGTTTTGAATCTCAGTATATTAGTCCATTGGTTAAATAAGCAAGTCTCTGGGGTGATGAAAACAAGATCCATATCTTGATATACACCATTTATCCCTTTATGTATGCTGTAGGTTACAATTGTTGAGAAAGCGGACAGCTCCAGCATTTTGCCTAGCCCACTTTCCATCAGCACTCGAAGCAAAATGACCTTCCTCTTTGCCAACCTGAAGGATCGAGACTTCCTAGTACAGAGAATTTCGGACTTCCTACAGAGGACTCCTTCAAAGCAAACATGCAGTGACATAGGGCAAAAGAAGAGTGACCATGCCTCTGAGGTACAGTGCCAGCAATGAGCTTTGAAACTATCTTCTATAAATATTTATAAAATTCTGGCAGTTGATTGTGATTTCTATTATTGACAAGGCCTTGGAACTGATTAGATAGCATTGACTGCCTCAGTTCCCAGAACAAGAAGGAAAACCATTGAGATCTCTATCTAAAGTAGTTGAGGGAGGGAAGTAGCTCGAGATTAGAGCGTATGGAGTCATTCCATTCTGATTGACATTTCATTCCATTTCATTGCTCCCTTGATGTGGCATTTGGAATTGCCTTAATTTTATCTGAATTTGTGAACAGCGGATCAGGTTTGACTGTCACTAAGGTACTGACTAGCTATTTAGAGAAAGGATTTCTAATCCTGTTTAGATCTGTTTGTCACGATCAGAAGTCAAGGACACCTTCATATCTGGATTTCTTCTGCTGTCTCAAGTGGCTGCCTGAAAGGCCTTGCAAAAAGTTTTCATTCATTTACCACTTTGTTTTTCCCAGTTTGTTTTGGCCATTCTGTTCATCCTTCTTCTGCAGCCAAGTTTTTGATCATTAGTGAGCTTTCAACATTGTGGTACCAATCTGAAATTATTTGTTTAACATTGAAAAGCCAGGAATGCTTAATAAATAAACCTTGAATAAAAATAAATATCAATGAAAGTGTGGATGGGGTACTTATTTAACTGCCTGGGTAGCCACATAAACCAGAGCAGAGGGACTCTCTCATTAAAAGAGTGAGGGTACAGGTGGGATCTGTCAACTTGAGGACCTCAATGATACCTGACAGAATAAATATTTGTCAGGGAATTGTCAGGAAATACAAATGAAATATAGTTTTATACAAATAAATATATTTTATATCAATATATACAACAAACTGGATAGTCAGGCAAAGAGGAACATCATGAGGTAAATCACAGAGCACACAGAAAAAAAGGGAAACTGTCTCCACACCCACAGTAACCAATCACAGCACAGATTGCCTCACGCAGGAGCTGTCATTCTCCAACCAATTAACCACAACTGTTATGTTCTGGCTCACTGCACAACCCCATTGCTGCAGCTACTAAATTTAAATATCTTAACAATATTGGATTGCTTGAATGAGCACATTAATCTCTTTGCACATAATATGGTCTCATATAGGATTACCTGCCTATGTTGAAGAATATGTTACTTAAACATTGCTGCTACTTAAGTTGGAGGTTGCTACTCTAAGTTCACTTTTATTTGTCCAGAATCACACACTAAGTGCCCTGAGCCTGTTCAATGCGTTCTATAGAGCATTCAAAGGAATGACCACTTTGTTTTATCAGAAGTATTACCTATGCATGCACTTACATGTTCAGGTAACTAATAGATAGCTGTGACGAGTCTTGAGGAAGAAAGGTAGCCATATGTTAGTGAAGTGCCCCTTACTATCCAACATGTTTTGTTTTTCTCAGATAGAAGTGTTGCTGTTTATTGATTATGAAAGAAAGCAAAGCAGATGTCAGCACCAGGAAAATCAGAAGATCCAGGCAGTTCAAATGTGTATAAAGTTTTATTGTAAGCTTAAGCTCTTTGCAAGAACCTAAACCACTAATAGTCAAGAGAAATTAGTGAGAGTTAAGAATAGAAAGGAAATCAAGATGGGCTGGACTTCAATCTCTTGTGGGTGTGAAGGGACTGATGACTGATAATGCATTTGTCTCCTCCCTTGGGCTCAGCCTGGTCATCTCCTACAGCAGCAGACTTTTGCTAGCAGTACAAAAGCTAGCTGAAATTTTAGATCAATTTCCTACTAATAGCAGTTTCTTAAATAATTATTTTCCATATAAAAGACTGGATTGATAATTCATTGTTATTCTACGTTAGAATGACAGTGACAGGGAATTAATAAGCCTATCAATTATCCCCCCCCCCGAATATTAAATTTTGATTTAAACCTTGCATTTGTAAGGTATACATATAATTACAAACACATTGCAAATATGAGCTTTATGTTACTATATTTTGTAGGAGTTCCAGGGTTAACCATGGCTTCCTAATGGCTACATATATCATGAATAAAGAATTGTTGCTCTGTAATATATATGATGATCGTATTCCATATTCTATGAATATCTTAGATGATCTAAATGAGGGTGAAGGCATTAATGGCAGTGCCATCAATAATGTATTGTAGCCATAATGGATGTCTTCCTAGCACATTATTGATTGCACTAGAAGTCCAAATAGCCTTCAGATTGCTGTTGAACCTGCTTGTATTTCCACATGTTTTGAGTTGTACATTTCTTTTTTAGGAAATGTCTCCTAACAGTCCTCCTGCAGACAGTCCTGCTTCTCCTCTCAACAATCAGCCTGTGAACTTTTGCACAGATGAAGTACCCACAGCATCTCAAGGACTGTTGAAATTGTTTGGGACCAATCCAGAGGAATCCTCTGGAATAAAATGGGTAAATTGATGATTTTTTAATCAATTCAGAAAATGCAGTGCATATAGTATAATTAAAACCCTTTTAATTATAACAACTCATAAGATTAAATTGTTACAGTATTAAGTGGTATATTTGTACATGGGAAAATATTTCAAACATATTCATCTAAATGTGAAGAACATAAATGAGTTATTGCAACTTCAACTTAATTTACTAAAATAATATATGTATCTTGAAAATGTCTTCCTCTTTGGGTTGTTGGTTTTGAAAAGATGGAATAATATGTTTCTCTGGCTGGCATTTCTAAAGGGAGCTTGCTAGAGCTATTTGGAAGGAAGCTTGCTGGAAAGTGCTTGCCACACATCTGTCCTCTATGGAGGGCAATCCAGCTGTTGGTTAGTCTGGTGTGGGCCCTGGCAGTAAGCTTGTTTTTGGTACCAGTACTAAAGGTGCCCAATAGGGGTTTGTCACATTGCCTAATTGCAGCTTTGTGACATTGTTTGATGCTACATGGCTAGATGAGTTGGGTGAGACCTAGGAAGGGAATTGGGATGTATGGAATCGGGATAACCTTCAGCCAACTTAGTGAGAGGGGTTGGTGGGAGAGGCCAGTGTTGGTAGTTCATGTGAGGAATAAGTTATTGAGTCCCCTATGGCACTGGTGGTGATTAATTCATCCTTAAGAGACGGGGTGGTTCCTTCTCTAGGGGAGGTGTTGCTTTGTCCCTTTCTCAAGGAGCCATTGCTGGATCCCACCATAGCAGACAATTTTTGTCCAATGTCCAAACCTCCCTTCTTGATGTAAGATTATGGAGAAGGTGATCATACATCAGCTTCAGTGAACTGTAGATGAAATGGATTATCTGAACCCTTTTCAGTTAAGCTTCAATTCTGGATATAACAGAAATGGCATTGGCTACTCTTTTGGATGATCTGTGGCGGGTGCAGGATAAGGGTAGTGCATCCATCTTGGCTATATTTGACCTCTTATTGGCTTTCAGTACCATCAGACATAGCATCCTCCTGAATCAGCTCTGGGGATTGGGAATTGGTGGCACAGTATTGTGTTAGTTTTCTTCCTTCCTCAGGGGCCAATATCAGTCAGTATTGACCCAGAGGTGAGAGAGCCTGTACTACGTATGATGCTGCAAGGTTTGGTGCTCTCTGCTCCTGTCATCTACATATGATTGTTATGGGAGATCATCCATCATCAGGAACTGAAATATCACCAGTGTGTTGATATTCAATTATATCTTTCCACTCCTGATGAATTAGGCAATGCTGTAGATGCTTGACGGCTGTGTGGTCTGAATGGGGAGCAACAGGCTTCAACTGAATCCTGGCAAGACTGAGTGGCTTTGGTTTTTAGGGCCTTCTGGATCTGAGATTTTACCATCTGATACTAGATTGGATGGCACTGCTGCAGATATACCCAACTTGCAAACTGGGGGTCAAGGAGCAGATAGTCATTTCTAGGAGGGTGTTGGCGCAACTTTGGGTTCTGTACCAGTTACACTCATTTCTGGATCATGATGCTCCTGATCACAGTAACTCATGTCTTAGTCACTTCTCTTATGGACTGTCCTAATGCATTCCACATGGAGCTACTCTAAGAGTATCTGGAAGCTTCAACCAGTGTAAAATGCAGAACAGGCAGTTATATATACCCTAAGGAAGTCACATTTTATAACTCTATATTGATTGCCAGATTGCTTTCAAATCCAATTCATGTTGGCAGTTTGGACTTTTAAAGCCCTACATGATACCGTATGGGGCCAGGTTATTTTAGGCATTGTCCCTTTGTGATCTACCTGCCATATTAGGTCTGGCAGGAGAGGCCTGCTATGGGTCCATCTATGAAAGAATTACATACAATGCAACCTAGAAGACAAGCCTTTTCTGCCATTGCACCTACCCTTTGGAC